ATCAAGGTATCACACCAAGCAGTTCATTCGGCTTTATGTGCTTCCAAAGTCATGGGAAAATTCTGGTCGCATTTCTTCCTTGAAATTTGCGGGGCGTTTTCTGTGGACCTCGCCAGCAACATTCACATAAAGATTCATCACCCGTATACCAACATTATTGGTTTAGGAGACTCCAGTTCTTGGAGAGCGCCTTTCCTACCAGCTCTCACGTACATGTTCTTTGCACCACTATTGTTTCCTATTGTCAGCCCATTGTTTGTAATCGCGGAGTTAACAAAGGCGAACAAATGGAAGGAATTGTTGCGTTGTACGCTCTTCATCACTGCTGGTATCTTTATTAACATTACCCTGTTGATGAAAGTATCTGGCCTGAAGCTAATGACATCACTTTTGACAATGTGGTCTGCCAGAGCTGTGCTCAGTATACCTTACATCCATGTAAATATATTTCAACACATTGGTCTTCCAATGTACAGCAAGGAGACGGCTCCAAAACGGTTACACCTGATGTCAACTGGCGTATTGAACTTACCACGGAACCCTCTCCTGGATTGGACATTTGGACATGCTATCGTCAACTGCCATGTTGAACATCATCTATTTCCAGAACTATCTGACAACATGTGCTTGAAGATTAAGCCGATAGTTAGCAAGTATTTGACAGGAAATTCTCTGCCGTACAACGAAGACACCTATATGAATCGTTTACGCATGTTTGTTAACAAGTATGAAGAGTTAATGGTGAAGTTACCACCTATATCTGAATTTATCGGTATCCAATAGGGTGATATTTCCATGGGACTTGACATTACCTCCTTCCATTATTTCTGCACTATCGTGATCAGCAATTCACCAACACAAGGTTAATTATTTGATGAGGTATCGGGTTCAAGTTTATGGCGACAAATAAATCTGCACATTTGGGACAGCTATGAACTTTTGAATTACTCATTGTAGATAGTGACAAACAGTTGTTTAATTCAGTTTGATTCTCAATTCAGTACTTACTGAATCTGATCTTTTGAAATACTTGTATACCATACATGAATGGGACTCAAAGGTGATGTTGCATAGCAATGCAATTACAATGCACTTTATCTGAATACTTTATTTTACTTAAAAATTATTGTCTAGTATTAGAGTTTTAATTTAACCTAAAAAAAAGTGCTACATGGGCATTTTGCATTTCATTTGACCTAGCGTGACCTTCACATTATCAAATTTGGTTATCTTGAAGTATCTATTGTATATTAGTACATTCCATTCATGCACACTTCTGCACTGACCAGTCACTCAACTCTGTTTAATGAACTCTGGACAGGTCAAACTCAATTATATCTTCCCCCGAGAAAAAAGTATTAGATTGTATACATACGTTTTCTTGCACTAAAAAAACAAAAAAAATACATGCATGTTTTTAAGTCCCCTTTCCAAAAGTGCTTTTTGAAGTAGACATAAAATGCGCTATAAATACTGTAAAATAACTAATTTTCACTGGGTTTAAATTTCGCTGATTTACCATTTGATTCAGTGGGTTTTAAATTCAGTTTTATCATTTAGATGTGTTCTATGCTAAATTTTACATATTCACTGGGTTTTAATTTAGTACATTTTCCAGTCAGCGAGATAAGCAAAATCAAAACCCAGTGAATAATTAATCCTTTTACCGTATAATATATGCATCTCCACCTATCCAACTACCATCTTACTAAAGATTGTCATAGATTTTATTGTCTTATATTGCAATATGGTCTTCACATTTTAGATAAATAACATTTCTTTTTTAAAGACCTACTGTCCCAGAGGAATTATTCTTTTTTGATCTTCTGAAAAACCGAGTCAAAGATTAGGTTTTTTTGCTAAAATTTGAACATGTGAAAGATCATGAGTGATAGGATTCAGGTATATAATGGATTATCATCTAATCTATGACTAAATTAGCACCATTAGTGTCTCTTAATGGAATAAATATATATCATGTCTGCAATATTTTAAGGGTATGTCGAGTGAAACATCATTCAGGAAAGTGGCCATGGTACAGAGAATTGCATGTTATAATGTATTTATAAATGTAAATATTTGTAAAATTAAAACAGCAGTTTTGAAGCTTGTTCTGTGATGTCCTAGATTTGGGAGACTAATGCTAGAGCATGCCATTGTTTATTTTTGTTTGGATATCAAATGAAAACAGATTTGCAGATTTAATGAATTTAAAAAAAATATTTACAAGTGTTTTTTAGAATATGAATATACTAGTGATTTTGTTCTCAATTTAAAAAAAAAGCATGTAATTTTCAAGTGTGCAAAAGAGAAATCATTTACATGTGTTTGGGTTTTCATTTCATGTGTTTTGCTTTCTGACCTCATTACATACCGTCAATCATATGGAAACAGGTTGTGTAACATTACAAGTTAATGATAAGCCAGTATTTTATGTTTTTGGTATTTTGTTTTTAAAGGTGTTCACACCCATTATATAGGCATACATGTACAAATTACGGGAGTGTATTTTAAAAATATGAAATTTGCAACCATTAACATGTTACACCAATAATTATCATTTGCATGCATGTATTGACTATTTTTGGATAATAATTCTTATTTAAAACTACGTTTGAAACTGATGATGCGTTTTTAATTTGACAAAATGTATATGGGTAAGCCAAAGTGTGATTTTATCAACAAGCCAGAAAGCATCTTACTATAACAATTGTTATGATTGGTCTGTGTCCAAATGAGATGTGATCACAATACGTGCTATGATTGGTAGTTTATTAAATGAGATTTGATCACAATATGTGTCTGATTGGTCTTTAGTCAAATGAGATTTAATAACATTACATGTCATTATACATATACACTTTGAAATGCAGAAAAAATACCTATAACTTGCCGTAACAGTATTACTTTCTTAAAGTAAGGCAACTCTGAAGCTAACAACAGTCACAACCTGTGCAAGGTCTTGGCTCTAGTAAATGACCTCAGCACTACGGGCCTTGGATATTTACTACAACTACCGTAGTTACCTCAAAGGCATGAATAAATCATCGATACAATGCAGTTCTGAATGGTCTTGAAGAACATTACAACTACTGTAAAATCTGTACATTAGAAGCTGTGGCTTCTATTAGAATGGTACATGTACAATGCAACAGAAGGGATGTGGCTTGTATTAGAGTATCTACACAATATGAAAATTGTTGAATTTTTGGTTCACAATTGTACAAAGAGAATGGGTGAAGCTTCTAATAGGAATGCAGCTTCAGATTTTATGTCAGTCCACAGTCCCTCTATCCTCTTGAGGGACTGTGGTGAGTCATATGAATGATGGTATAAATTCCTAATACAGGAATTGTAAGGTGTGAATTCCTTACCAAGTTGTCACAGGCAAGACAAGATAGAGAGTTACTCCATACAGAAGCTCGTAAATGTCCTCAAGTTTGAATATTTAATTCAGTATATTACAAGTGAATATAAAATCTTTACAGCTAAACATCTCAAATTTGCATATGAATATACATTGTACCATAATTTGTAACTATGAGATCATACTACTGGTACTTGCAAAATGAAGATATTTATATAGATAGTTGAAGATAGATTCAGACTTCATAAGTTGATACGAGCAGAGAGAATAGTCAGCAGTTACCCCTTTTCTATTTGCTACATATGGTTTGTGGATTACACTCACTATCTCGTACTATAACACATAACATAAATAACAGTTTAAAAACTTAAAATAACAGTTTAAAATTAAAAAAAAAGACCCATCAATGAACAAGGACATGGGCCCAGCACTGAGGCATAATCTCAGTCGACGTGATGTTTTCATTTGTATGTTGCGACAAGTTATTTTTTCGTAACATTGATGGCAGTCTGGCATGTCTTCATGGAACCCATTTCCCAGGAATTCAATTAGTACACATTACGGTTGAGTTGACACTTGATTTACGTTCATATACTCATAGTCACATACTGTTTAAGAATTACAGTATAAAAGTAAGAGTTTATTTCCTTCCTCCTAAAAAATCAGCCATTGGATCTTCTGTTTTACGCTTCTTCATCCGCCACGCCTCCATCTCTTCTTCTGTTGGTTGTTTGTAATCTGAGAAAGACTGGAGACTATTATACGGCCTCTTTCTCTCATCCATTGCAAGAATTCTGTCTGCCTCCTCCTGTTTTCTATCCTCCTCTACCAGGGCCTATTCAAAACAGAAAACAAATCAATATAAATGATCTTGTCATTTATCAAATGCATGATGCAGCAGATACCATATTTTTCTTTCGTTCTCCAACTGTCAGTTATTTGTTTTGTGTGTTGTTTTGTGCTTTGCGTTTTAGCGTGTGTTGTTATCGTCGCTTGGGACTCAATTCCCGCATGTGTTAAATGTCAATTATTTGGACACAGACACCTTCACTATTAGTTTGCTGGACATTCTGTATCTCGAAAGATGACTTACATATGTTAGTCAGCAAAACAGTACACAAAGTACCGGGGGTACATCCTATTAAGATCAAATATTCTAGAGTAATGCCGTTCATATGTAATCTGCTATTTCCACTTTGACCTACCTTTTTTAGTTTTTCTTTCTTTAATCGTTCAGCCTCTTCCTCGCTATCCTCGTTGTTCTTCTTTTTTTTCTTTTTCTTATCTTTCTTTTGCTTTATCATTTTTTCCTGGTGTTCCTATAATCATTAAATTGTTGTATAAATATGACTGTATTGGTGTCCATATATGTGTAAGATGTGACATCAACGATACATAATATTTCTTACTAACCTCTAGTAAAGTTTTTGGTAAATCTTTTTCTTCTTCTTGTTCTTCACCTTCCAATAAACCATCTATTAAATTATCAGATACCATCTTACCAGCTTCACCAGTACAGTAGGAATGTTTAACAAAAGAGTGACAGCACTGGTATCCCCAATTCCCGGCTTTCCAAAATGAACCCCACACACTCTGTACAAATAACAGTGAAAAAAAAATGAAAGTATGCTACAAACAATCAGCCTCTCAGCCGAGATAGCTCCGGTGTTAGCAATGCACATTTCAATTAAAGAATTTCAAGATATCATTATATCAAAGAAAGCTTAGAAAGAACTCCCATGTGCTGAGAGTATTGGAGACACATTAAATATAATTCGAAATTACTTAGCTGAAAACTAATTATGCAAATCAGAAAATTAATATGAACAGATTTGAGTGTAAAACTAATGAGGTCTGCGCAATGTAACAGAAAATCTATGTTTCCAAGTTTAATTGAAATGTGATTAGAACCAAAAAATTATGAATTATTATGCTTATTAGGGAATTAATATGAACAGATTTTTACCCCAAACTAATTAGGTTTGTACATTGTCCTAGAGCATCTTTGTACTAAGTTTCCTTGAAATGGAATAATTAGTACTTTAGATATTAGTGTGAAAGCTTAAAATTGGTTAATTATGCAAATTAGGTAATTAATATGTACAGATTTTAACCTACAATTATCCAGGTCTGTCTATTGTCCTACAGCATCCATGTACTAACATTCATTGATATGTGATGATTAGTACCTGAGATATCAGTGTGAAAGTGGGAAATTGGTTAATTATGCAAATTAGGTGATTAATATGCACAAATATTTACCAAAAACTAATTGGGTCTCTGTATAATTCTAGATTCATTGAAATGTGATGATTAGTACTTTAGATATCAGTAGAAAAGCTGAAAATTAATTATGCAAATTAGGTAATTAATATGCACAATTATTTACCC